AGCAGTGACTTAGATCAACATCTTGAGGAAAAGTCTGTGGTAGTGCAATCTGAACCAGAAGAGGATGTAGTCCATGAGAGATGTGAACAAACTACCATAAAAAGTAATGATTTACAGGTCAAAATATCAGAAGAAGAAATCGAAGAGCTGCAGACTGATGTAATGGTAGGCAGAGAAATACTAAGTTCAGTGGTAGAAACTCCATTCCAAGAAATTTGCATAGAGAGAAAGGCGCACCACCAGCCATCTACAACTGGGAAAAATATGTCTGGCATGCTATCAGTTCTTAGTCATGACTTAGATCAGCATCTTCAGGAAAAGTCAGCAGTAGTGCAATCTGAACCAGAAGAGGAACTAGTCCATGAGAGCTACAAGCAAGTTATAGCAATAAAGGATTTCAAACAAGAAACTCATGCCTTATCTCCTGAACATAAAATGATGTCACCAGGAGATACAATTTTTGACAGCCTGGATATCACTAAAAAACAACCTTTAGAAAGTGGTTGGCACACATGTTCTAAAGAAGATGAAGGCCTGAAGAGTTTTTCATCTGAGGAAATTAAAACGGAATGGATGGTGGATGCACATGACTATAAAAGTGACCATGAAGATGTTAGTGTTGCTGTCTCTGATTCTGTTCTTTTTCAAGTACCAAGTAGTTTTAACACACTACAGCGACCGGCTGATTTAGAAAATCTAAACACTGTTGTATTTGATGACCCAGCTAATGAGTCATGTCATCGAGATTCACTAGAAGCTAGCCCTCTTGTGGAGGATAAATCATCACAGAAATCCCCTGATTCAATTGAACCAAGCCCTACCAAAGAATCTCCTTGTCCAGACTCTCTTGAGGGAAGTCCTACTCAGTCAAACAATGCAGACGTTAAGATCCCAGCAAAGACTGCTGTATATGAAGATTATGCTTCCCAGCTCAGAGCATGTTTTGCTTATGAGAAAAATATTTACTCAGATGAATGTGAGCATGTTGAGCATGATAACAATCTTGAGACAACTGAAATACACAGTGAAAATAAAGAAGACAAATATTCTGAATCCACAAAGAGAGTAGCTCATGGTGAGAGTCTTCACATGTTTGTAAGGCAAGGCTGTTTTGACACAGAAGAAAGGGCGGTTGATGGCACCAATAAACAGTTAACACCAGAAGAGGAGATGTTTAAAATGGCTGCAAAGATCAAAACATTTGAGGAGATGGAACAGGAGTCTAAACTGCGGATAGAAAAATCTTTTGATGCTATTGTACTATCAGAAACAAATGGTCATGAAAATGGTGAGGTTGATCTTAAATCTGGCCTGGTTTCACAGTCTGTCCCACAAGATGCAATAGAGAAAATAACAGAGAAATGTGTGACAGAAAGCATTCACAGACAAAAGGAGGCACTGAATATTACTTTTAATAAGAAGGAAGAAACTCAGTCAGATCCTAAAAGTACTCACTCAGTTGACAGTTCACTGTGTTTAACTGCAACTCCAGATGAACCTGAACAAGAATGTGAGTACTCTGTGCCACACAAAGATAAAGACACTATTGGAGGTGCAGTCACTGACATTCCTTTTTCTGGCTCAGATGAACATCATTTAAATGATGACAAAGAAGTTGGATCACCATTTACAATCGGTTCAGCTTCAGTCAGCCAACCTCAGACTACGGTGTGTACTAAAGAAGGAGAATTTGTTGTAGAGTGTGAGGGTCTTTGCATTTCAGAGGACAGAAAAACACCAGATAAAACACCAGGTGATGAAAAACCCCCTGATCCATTTCAGTTTCAAGAGGGAAAGCTATTTGAAATGACCAGAGGTGGAGCTATTGACATGACAAGAAGCCTCGATGAAGAAAGGGAAGCATATGCATTTTTTCATGTTGGGAAACATCCAGTTGATGAAATTGTCCCAGAAGAGACTGAACACTCTCAATCAAAGTCTTTAACTTTACGGATGAATGATTATGTCTCAGATGTAACCCATCAAGAAACCCCAAATTCATATTTGACTCAGGGTACCAGTGACAAAGCATCTAGTCCCAATTCTGAAACTGTCATCGTAGCTACAAGTGGAAAATCACAACTTGAGAAGCCACTTACTAAAGTTCAATGTGCCAGCTCTAGCTCTGCTTTAGACAATAAAAGCCTTGAAAGTCTCGGTCTAAGCTATCTAGACTCTACCATAGCCGATCTTCAATCAGACATATCCACAGTCGCTCATTCATTCTACTCAGACCAGAGCCATGATTTCTCAGATGATGATGATGATGATGATGATGATGATGATGACGTTGAGGAGGAAGAAGACCAGTGCTCAGTCATAGAGATGGCCTTTTCATCTGGTCAGCCTAGCATGCCAGCATATAATCAGGACTCACCCACACCTTTGACAAAACCAGCCATGGCAGTTAAGGGAGATGGTCATTATAAAAAAGCCAAGAAAGACACACAGATATCTCAAGTTCATGGAGAAGAAAAAAGTTCCACCTTGGCCCGTAGGACTAGATCTGAGGCTAGTGACATAAATAAATCCTCTGTAAAAGACAGCAGGAGTTATTCTGATGGTAGTCAGCCCACTAATGCAACTGACCTTTCCCCTTCCAAACTTACTGTAATGACACAAGAAAAAGCTTTACCTCATATGATCTCGACATGCTCTTCTCCAAAGAAAGACAGCCAACTGTCCATGACTATAGAAACATCTGTTAGGCCTTCTTTGGATACCGATGATATAAGTAGCGCTAGTCACAAGAGCCCAGATTCTGTTATCTTCACATATGACATTCCTGCTTCGCATAGTTCAGGTTCTGATGGCAGTAGAGTAGAGCCAACAGAGCATTTGTCTTGTGAGACAGTGGATGTATTTGAATCCAGGCCTGCCTGGAATGAAACAGTGGAAACTCAGATGCAGAGAGTCATCGATGACCAAACTTCAGAATGTACGGCAGGTATGGCCAGACTCAAAGTGGGTTTTTACATTCTTATCTCTTCCTCTCAGCTGCAAGAGCCTTTTCCCTCCTCCTAAGAACAATATCAACATTACTCATTTTGCATTGCTTTCATATGTTGTGACTTGTCTGGTCCCACCTTGCACAGTTTAGTGTATTTTGTATGTGAGTATGTGTGCCCCTATGTGTATATTTTTGTGTTGTGCATGTAAGTTACTTTCCCATCTGTGTTTGTGAATATGCAGTCTCAAGATTGAATGGCCATGTTGGCTAAAGAAATAGTCTAAGTAGTTTCAATGAAGACTTATTGATTATAGATGAATGAATGATTATTATATGAGAGTATTGTCTGTACTAATAATCCAGCTTTACTATTATCAAAATAAGGAAAAGCAGATCTATAACATTACTTACACTAATGACTGAAAAGCATGATGTGCTGACCGTGACTAGTCATTTGTAAGAAAACATTAATTCGTATCAAATTTCAGCCTTTATGTTATCATCTACGTCATTATTACAGATCTACATTTATTTTACAGCCTATAGCATAGAATCCTCGTGAAATATTATTTTACACGTACACATTCACATAACATATACTTGCAATATGTAAAATAAAATTTTACTCGGTATATTTTCACTTCAGGAGTTGTTAACATATAATGTTTGGCTATGTTGGCATTTTTTTTAGTCGATTGGCAGGAAGATGCTGACAGGAAAGAGGAGACATTAGCTATCATTTCAGATCTTCTTGGCTTCAGCTGGACTGGTAAGCTGTCAAATTATGCAATTAATTTTAAGTTTTATATTTTAAATTTTAAATACGCAATGTACTTTAGGAAGAGGCTGTATTTTAGGTAGAGGCTGTATTTACTGCATTTTTCAAATGTTATTTTAACTTTAACTCAACTATTCATCATCAGGAACAGATGATATTATACATAATTCAACTCTTTTGTTATTTGATTTGTTCTCCACCTCTCAAGAACTTGCAAGAGAACTGGAATTCAGTGAAGATGATATTCAGCTAGTGAGAACAGAGAATCCTAATTCCCTGCAAGAGCAGAGCCATGCTTTACTGCAGCGCTGGGTTGAACGTGAGGGAAAACACGCCACAGGTCCATAGCATTTTGTCCTGCCAGATATGCCTTTATGAAATTATTTGTGCATTTGGTAGACCCATATTCAAATCGCTGATTGAATACAAATGTTTTATTTTCAGTTTTTACGTAATAGAAATGAATGTCTTCTAGTCATCTATTAATAAATTATTGATTCTTCCACAGAGGACTGTCTGATTAAGAGGCTGACTAAGATCAACCGCATGGACATTGTTCATCTTATTGAAACCCAGATGAACAAGTCAGTTCAAGAGCAAACATCTAGAACTTATGCAGAGATAGAGAAGACACTGGATCACAGTGAAGGTAGTTGTACTTCTTAGCACACTGAAAACCCTACCTTACACCAAGCTCCTTGTGTGTTTACGTTCATTCATATATATACATATATATGTTGTTTTTAGTGTCAGTAGCCTTATCTTCAGTCCAAGAGGATGCAGATAGCCCCAGAGTCGTGAGAAAAGTGGAGTCAGATCGCAGACCACCCCCAGCTGTTTCAGAAGAGGACCTCTCAGTCGCTTCCCTACTGGATATTCCTTCGTGGGCAGAGCCTGTTGGACAGATCCATTCGGAGAGCATGCATGGTGACCTATTGGAGGAGCTTGAAATCCCGCAGTAAGTTATTCATTTGAAAATATTCCTGACTCTGCAAAATGCACTGGCAGTGCAACACAATGTCAGATCAAACTACTCCTTTTCTCAAGCCTAATGTTTCCCACCAAGTTGTCCTCAGGAAACAGAACAGTGTCCTATCCTGCTTCAGGCTGTTCTTTGTGTCATATAGTGGGTGCAGTTCTTTGGGTGTGTTTCCCTTTTAGCTTGGCAGATTAGGACTCTGAGATGCACATTTATCATCAAAGTCAGATTTTGTGACCTATCTTTCTTTTTGTTCTGCAGTGAGTTGAATCCTAACTTGTGGACCTCTGAGGATGTAATTACACGTGAATCAAGTCAAGACAACTTAGATGAGCAAGTAAGTATGCAGCCTACTTCAAAAGAAGCTGCATTTGGGAGCCAAGCAACTCAGGTTTATGACCCCAAAGTGAAAGACCAGGAAGCTCATTTCATCAGCTCTTTCCAAGGTGGAACTCAAGTCAAAGATGGTCAAAGCCTAGAGCACTGTGGTTATGAAGACAAGCAAGGTCAATCCTGTGAAATTCACTCATCTCACTCATCTTTTTCTGTCAGAGACTTTACTCTGAGGCTGTCAGAGTCAGACAAAATTGAAACTGATATCAGTAAGCTTTGTAATGAATTACATTGTGCACCCTTGTTTTGCAGTAGAGATCCAGCCAGTTCTAGTGAGATCACAGCCCAGTTCAAGAGAGTACTCTATAGTCATGACAAGACCACACAGGTTTCAGGTGTGGACATGGACACCAAACCCTTCAAGTTAAGCAAAGAAGAAATAACAAAGTGCAATGTATATAGTGAAGTCATTCTGGAAAACTTGCCCTTCATTGATGACAATGCTGATATGCAGGCAACTGAACTCAATATTGCAACAGCTAAGTCCAGCAACGTGAATCCATTTAAAAATGGCATACAGACAATGATGCCATGCAGTCAGACAACCTGTCGCCCTCATTGTATGGCTTGTGACTCAACTGAGATGATCTGTAATTGTTATTTTACTACTCCAAACAGTAACAATGTTGTAGCAGAAGCAAACAGGTCCTGCATTACTGAGCCAGAGAATTTGTCTTTCCACTATTTCCAGCCTGTCACTTATCTCACACTACAAACACCTGAGTGTGGTATCACATTACCTTCCACTTTTATAGACTGCAGCCGATTGACCCCTGATTCTTTAGCATCTGAAGAGCAGTGTGGCTCCCTTTCTCCCGCTAATGAAAGTGGTCACTTCCTTCCAGATGCATGGATGTTAAATGAATCTGTACCTAGATTGTCATCCCCCGAATCTGTCATGTCAGTTAGTGATTATAGAGCAATGTCACCTGACTCTCCTCAGGGTGGGGAAAGAGTATTACCTCCAGACTTTTCAAGTATATTTGATGAGACCTATGCACTCTCTGTTATGTCTGAGAGATGTAGTTCTCCAGAAGTTACAAACAACTTCACTGAAAATGAATATAACACCTGTGAGTCATGTAGTTGCGACCACAAACTGCTTTTTGGGTCAAAGGCTTTTGTTCCTGTAATTTCACACTCTAGACCAGTATCGAATGACTATCTAATCTCTAAATATAGTCCAAGACATGAGGGTGAACATTTAAAGAAAGAATCCAGAACATTCTCACCTGTGATAGTAGAAAATGAATATGATCTTTCAGTTCACAAAGGAATATCTTCACCTGACTTGTGTCCAGCTATTCATGACTATTTATCTACAGATAGGGATTGCCGACCATCTTCCCCACAATCGCAAACTTCTCAGTGCAGTTTTTCATTTCTTGAACTATTGCTGTCACAGCCAATTCGCACACAGCTAATGAATCAACACTGTCATTATTATTTACAGTATTCAGGAGAAAATCCATCCTCACCATCCCTGATGTCAACTTCTTACCATAAATTCAGTGTAAAGGAAGCAGGTCAAAGTAGCCCTTTGATGGAGGATTATGTAGATTGTGATTGCCCTCCGTCTGTCCCCCAGCAATCTGCCACATCAGTTTATCTTCCACCACATTTTTCTGCTTCACAGCACCAACATAATGCATGTGATGTCAAGCAATATACTATAAAGAATTGCTCATCTCATCTTAATCAATGGCGAGATGATAAAACCACAGATGCATCAGATTCATTGATATGTCACATGAAAGGACGAGAAATACCAATTATGGATTCATCTACTCTTACATGTGTAGAAGTCAAAATCATTGACACTGAAGACTTGGGCTGTTCAGCTAAAGAAGAAGAGTCATTTCAATTTAAGCCACTAGTTTCTGGAGTCCAAAAATTAAGAGAGGAAAGGAGTCAATCTTACCTTGATTACTGGTTTTCAAAGCTGGAAGCAGAATCTTTAGAAAATAATTCATTACGAGGGAAGTCAGTTGAAGATTTAACAACAAAGCCAAAATTGGCTCCAGAATACAATGAAATGAAAGAGACTATAAATTTGACTTCGGTGAAAGAATTATCACCTACCAAAGACCAACACCAAAAACTTGAAACTTGTGACAACTTGCAAAAATTATCTTTAGCCCAACCACTTGTGTTTGACTTAGTGGAGAGACCAAAATACATTTTGGACTTTCCAACGATAACTCAATTCTCTAACACAAAAAAACCCTTAAATGAAACTGTAAACAAAGACTGTCAGTATGCATTATTCACAACTGAGAAGGAAGCACTAAGGCCATGTTTGAAAATTTCACATACATCGCTAGGAAAACAGAGGGATTATGTATTTCCTGAAGATACAAAAAGTTTGGGGACCGTAAGCACTCTAACTGAAAAGGAGTTAACCCTTATCAGTGACTTGAGAACAGTACCTACACAAGTTTTTGAGGATAACAAAAAAAATTCAAAAGATTTCTACTCTTCAGATATTGAACTTACACGCTCAGCTTTTAATGTAAAATCATGCCTAAGATTGCGGCCAAAATCTCCTGAATCATTGGAGTCTGATGATGAATTTAGTCCTCTCTCTCCTGACTCACCTGTTACTCAGTTCAGATGTCCCCATAATGAGTACAATGAAGAATTGCTAAGGCCTTCTTCAAGACCTTTGACCTATGCACAGGTTGTGCGAGGCTTTACACATGACAACAAATGTGACACTTTATTTGACTTCCAAAGTAGTGACTTGAGAACTATGCCTTCTGCATCTTCGCCATCAGAAGCATCTGATACAGAACATACCCTTTATCTTCTAGACGAGTGGGTGGCGGAATTAAGGCCACAGTCTCCTGAATCGCTGGAGTCTGAAGGTGAATTTAGGCCGCTCTCTCCGGACTCACCTGTTCCTCAGTTCAGATGTCCCCATAATGAATGTAATGCGGAATTGTTAGGGCAAAGGTCGGTTACACCAGAATCAGCATTTTC